AAAACGCTGCAGGATTTCTCAAACATGCATGAATGAGTCAAAGCAAGGCTTTGGGCATCTTTTTTTTATGAGAGTATAACATTACAACATGAAATAAAACTCAAAAAAGTACATGATATTTCCCTTTAAAACTTAAGCTTCATTTCTGTTTTTCAGCTGTCCAGTGTCCAGCTCTCCAGCAGCTAGATCATGGCGTGCTCAGCTGCGAGGACAACACCGAAACGAGGTTCAGTTTTGGAAGAACCTGCAGCTTCAGCTGTGTGTCTGGTTACCGACTGGTGGGACGGAGCAGGGTCTCCTGCACAGCAGCAGCTGAGTGGAGCGAGCAGATACCTCACTGTGAAGGTGGGTGAATGATGTCAGTAAAATCCATCCACCTCTAAAGCAACAACAAAGAAGACTCTTTACTAAGTGTGCTTTTTTTTTCTCTCTCTCCTTTCTGCATTAGCCATCATTTGCAAGTTTCCAGAAGCAGGAGGTCGGGTCATCACAGAGTGCAGCCAACCTGTGACTGAACTGGGGCTGGATTCTACCTGCAGCTTCAGCTGTGAGCTGGGCTTTGAACTGCAGGGAGCAAACACCAGCACGTGCACTGAGAGCGGACTCTGGAGTGAAGCCACACCTACCTGCACAGGTACAAAAATTWAAAAAACATATTTTGTTTGAGCTTTGTGGGCTTTAGATGCACGTCAACAGTGCTTTTATTGGCTGTGTTTTGTTGCAACTAAAGAAAGATTTCTGTTCGACAGCTGTTAGGTGCCCACTCCTCGAAGCGCCTGAACACGGTCAGATGAACTGCTCCAGCCTCGAGCCAGTTTTCAGTTCCCAGTGCTCCTTCACATGTGATCAAGAGTACTCCTTAAAGGGGCATCAGTGGCTCAGCTGTGACCACCATGGCAACTGGTCTGGAGAAAACCCCACCTGTCGAGGTAAAAAAAAAAAAACATTTTCTTTAAAAGTAAATGTGAAAGTTGCTTTAAATTTACTCAACTCAGTTGAGTAGAAATTGTTGATGTAACATAGTTAGTTATGTAAATCCAACAATGTTTTTTTAAAAAGTAACTACTAGCAACTGCCTTCCTTATTGATGCACTGCAGGATTAGTAGATAGTTCAAATGTTCTCTATTAGCACATGTCCAACACATGGTGTGAAAGTACATTTATATGAGTATTTACTTAATGTACACACAATAGTTAATTTATGAGTTTTTAATGAATAAACAGTGAGTATGTTGGTTTTGGAAGTAATAAACCTTTAWGGGTAAAACATGATTAATCAAGGTATAGTTGTTATAAAGAGCTGCTGAAGTTTTAAGWAAATAATATTAATATTTATGTCTCCTCATGTTCCGCAGCTGTTTTCTCTTCTGCCACCATCGTTACCACGAGTGCGGCAGCAGGTGGCGCTGCGCTGGTTTCTGGTCTGTCTCTGCTCATGTGGATCCTGAAACGACTGAGGCAAAAAGCATCCAAGTTTGACCTGAACAGGTGAGCTCAGTGTTCGTTTCTCTTAAGTCCACTCTAGGAGTTTTAGGAAACAGAATGCTAACTTTGTTCTGTTCTGTTCTTTTTTACAGCAACTCTGACATAGACATTCCCCCACAAGTCTACAAAAACAGCATCGACAGCCTCATTTAAACAGAACGATGCATCAAATGCYTAATGTTTAATTTATTATGGTTGTAAAGTGTTTATGTAAAACATAAAAAATGGTGCAAACTGTTTTGTAAAAATGTTAGTTTGTGTGTTTACTCTCAGTGGGAGTTTAGTTTTGAACATATTGTTCAGAATTTAAAGGTGCTTGAAAAGCAGCTCTTATTGTCTAATTGTGAATGTTAGAGATTATTGACCTTTATGTGACTGGATTAATGTGAATTTTTTTATGATATTAATAACAATATTTATGTTGTATTTATGTTTYTGATTTAACTCTGATTCATTTGTTCAACACAATGAGTTTATTGTAATATGTGCATCTCTGAATATTTAATACTAATAAACTTTGATCATGTTAAAACATCATGAATTTATGAATTTCGACTGTGTTGATAAATAAGGACACTCAGACACCAACACAAAAATGTAAAAGTTTATTATAACAGACATGACTTCTAAAATGTGTCATTGAGACAATTTCATTTTTAATATAAAGTTTAATCAAAAAGAAACTGTCAAGAAAATACGTCCTTTTAGTTATTGCAACTTATTTTATTGCTGAAATTTTACTTTAAAAAGCCAGTGCAAGCTGCTACCTTATTTAGTTTATTGTAGCAACTTTTCTTTTACCTCAGATACAAGATTTGCAACAAACTAAAATGTAAAAATAAAATATGTTACATAACAGTTCATACTAACTTCATAAATTAGTTCTCAGAGTAATGCAGTGCACCGAGGGTTTGCCTTTCATATTGATTCAGTGTTTGTCAGATGGTTCAGTTTGACCAATGACCCCCCATCCTGATGCTGACCTGACCCCTGCCGTCACCTCATCCTCACAAAAACAGAACCGAGCAGATAAATAATCATGATGTTTTTGAGGAAGGAAAAGGTGAATTGCTGAAGGACAATATTTTTYAAATTATTGCTCTTCTTTGTTTTAAGGGAAGTTGTGTCTTCTTCATCAGCACTTTTACAGGACTAGAAGACAATTTAATCTCAGGTTAGAGGTGACAGAACAGACTTTGCTCTTATTCAACTTATTTAAAAAAACAAAAGTGTGATGGAATATGTACTCCAAGATAGACAGTGAGGTATGGACCAAATAAAATAAAAAAACAAGGATCAGYAAAATAATGAACAAACTGAGAAACACTGAAGGCTGCATTGAAAGAAAAACACTATTCTGTATATCAGAAGGATTTTTTTTTGAGGATCTGTAATTTTACCAAGTATTTTTTTAAATCATAACTTTTACTTTTATTTTGTTACATTCAAAACATAAAATACTTTTACGTCTTACCGGTAATTTTAAAATCTAGCATCTAGTTACACATTACACATTTAAATATGACCAAACTCACCATAACAAGATAGAAGCCATTTTTGTGAAGAAAGACCGTCCATCATTAAACAGAGGTGGAGGCCTCCGTTGTAGGAGGCCTGTAGGAGGCCTCAGTTGTCCCCCTCCTACAGTGCTGCTATTGCCAGTATCACTCCACCCCCTGATAGCCATGTGATGTGAGTATCAGTCACATGGAGGCAGTGCTCAAAAGCCTGAATTTTGCCTGAAACTCTCAGACTGAAGAAGTCTCTTGGAGGAGAGACGAAACGTTTCATTAGAGAAGAACCCGTCCAGAGGACCTATACAATTTTTTTCTTTTTGATAACAAGATAGAATTTGACGCGAACCATCACTGAGGTCCCCRGTCGCCATTCAGTAGTGACCAACTGTTAGCAGTTTGTTGGAATCATCCAAGCATTCATTATTTAAATAATCTCAACGTTAAAGGACAAATGGATCAACGAACGGACAGGGGGCRAAAGTGATCTTGTCAAACTACTACACAAATGTGTTGAGGAGGTCTCCTTTACATAAGATGCACACAAAAWTTGGTTAAGATTGACTGTATCATGTATGTGTAATTTATAGCCAACCATGTGCAAAGTGGGTGGTGCCAAAGTGATCTCATCAAACTAACATGTGAATGTGTTGAACAGGTCTCCCTGATGATGCACACAAAGTCTGGTGCAGACCAGATCATGTGTGTGATTRAGAGCTAAGCATGCGCAAAAGGTGAGGCATCAGCTTTTGCCACTCTGCCACGCCCACATTGTCCTGCGATCAGTGTTGAGAGAAGCATGTGAAGTCTGCATCTGTAGGGGGAATTACCTCAGATACATGTGCAAGAAAAGAGACAAATTGTCAGCTTTGATCAATAATGACTGACTTCCTGTGGGGATTGAACCATYCCTTCGAGAGACTTTTTGTAGGTTCTGAGACGTTATACAAAAGATTCTAGGAATTAGGCCCTGCCATCCAAAAATCGGACTGCATTCCTGTCGTGGGGTGGATTAGGATCAACCATAGTGAACTGCGTGCAGATTTGGTTGAAATATGTGGAATTTAGTCTGGCTTCACAGCACCGCTATGCACGCCTTTCACCAAAAAGTCTTTGTGCTTGAAAGTAATTGAGATCAACTTATCTTTGTTCTGACATGATTTGTTGATGATTAGGTCAAGATGGTCAGAGATGGAGCTTTCCAAGCCAAAAAAAAAAGGTCACTTCCTGTTGTCAGGGGGCGGGGCTTTCATGATGTCAGCATATAACCACATGGTATGGTTGGGCATGCAACATGGATGACTTGTACATAGTTTGGTATATTTTAGTTTTTCTTTGTGAAAGTTACAGCTTTCTGAAATTGWAATGGAGAGCATTTCTTAGTCCCCTGCCTCTGTGACGGGGGACAAAATTAGTTATTTACGCACTCTAAAAAACAAAGCACTGAATTTACTTAACCAAGTTATATCAACTGGTTCTAAGCTCATACAAGCCGTGATACTCAATTATTCAGTCAGAGTTCATCTATATTTCCAACCTGAAGCTATTCAAAGAGATATCTACAACAGGTGAGATATTGTTTGTTCATAGTTTTTGCACAGCGTTCCAGCTTAAACAATTTGAGTTATTGATTCAAGATGTAGATTACAACTAAAAGTTTTAATAATTTTTTTTGGTCAGAACTGAAAATACACAGGAAACAAGCTCAGCAAGGTCAGATTCAGTTGGTTGAAGCTGAAAACTGGCAAAGAAGAGCCACAATGAAGTAGATATTTTTTAATCAGATTATCCTATTAGCTGTCCTTTTAACACAATAATCTTCAATATAGTTCACAGACTTGATAGTCTTACATCTGCTTCCTTTATTTTCTGAAACCTGACTGAGAATCATGTTGAAAGTATTTAAAATATGCCCGGATCAGTATCTAACTTCTTTTAAAACATACATTTTACAATAAAAAAACACTTTAATTACATAACTGTGTTTGACCAACTTGTGCCCCCTGCTGAGGAATGCTCCCCTCTGTCTCCGCCTGATAATTTGACTTTTCCCGTTCAACTGCTCGTTCAGCACAAGCTGCTGATTCAGKCATCATCTAGGTTTCCTCTTTCTGATTTCCCTCAGAGACGACCTCTGCCACTGTGACATGGCCAGGGGTGCCAGAGCAGTTCACAACCTGCTTGTACAAGCAAAAATGAACAATCAAAGTTTGATAACAATCTGAGATTATGTCATGTGCATTCTCCATCCGTCCGCTWCAAGACTTGTCTTTACATGTATGCATCGGCACGCTAAAAACGTCCATGCATTTTACAACTAAAAATAATTATTTTAATAATACTGTGGGRCTGTGTTCTCATTCAGAGTCTTCCTGATTTGATACAATAGGATAAATGAGACGACATTCCTTAACGGGCAAATAATGTGGTTTTGAATTTTTGTTCAATTTCTGCAAAGAAGAGTAATTTCAAAAACAATAATACATTTGAAACAAAATGTGCATAAACTGTGAAGTCGTTCTAGAAAACTAATTCTGTTTGTCAGAGGTAAATCTGCACATTTCAGACACCAGTTCTTCATCACATGAATCTTAAACCTGAAATGTAGAGATTAGGCCAATAAGCATAAAGTGACAATGATGATGTTTGGTGTGATATTTGGACTCAGAGTGCAGACACACAAGGAAGCTCAAAAGTGATCTAGGAAAAATAATAAAACACAAAACCTAGAAGCACAAATGAGCCACAGGAAACTGGAACATCAGAGGGGGAACGAATAAGAAGGCGACTGATGAAATAGAATTATGTTAATGAGATAAGAGAGGCACCTGAGCTGATTAGACTGGCAGCAGGTGTGAGTGGAAGGCTGACTGAGAACTGACACACAGAACACTGAGAAATAAAACTGGAAATAAGAAAATGAAACTCAAGAATACCAAACAATAAAACACGGACTTTGAAGATTTAAACTGAAGTAYCACAACACATGATAAATGATAAACACAAGAACCACAAGATATAAAAACACAAGAAACCAAAAAAAAGGGGAACTCCGCGAGATCTAAAACACAAATAAGCATAAATCATTGACCAAAACACAAGGGTCATGARAGATGTGAAGCTCACCAATCTTCATCAACATAATGACCATCCACAGGTCACATTTCTCAACAATTTGTTGCCGTTTGACTCCCAGTGTTTCTGGACTGGGCTTTACAGGGCTGGAGAGTGAAAGGAAGGAACCAGAAATGTCCGTAAAGTTGCACAAAACTGGAAAACAGCTGAGATGTGTTGGTAGCAAGTTTTCGCTAAGTTTCCAGTATGTACCCAACATGTACCAGGTAGATACCAGTAAGTACTGTGTACCAGTTTTACTGTGAGCTCATTAGATGGGATCGGATGTACTGTAGAATGATTAAGCTGATCAGTCGACAATTGARGTAAAAGTAAAATTCATGTCATAAAATCAAAATGTTCATCGGACTTAAGTAGTGTTTCAGATTTCTTTCTCGGATTTCAGAGGGGGTCAAACTCATTTATCTGAGGGCCACATGAGTGTTATGGTGGCCCTGAAAGGGCAAGTTGTAATTAACTTCAACGTTTCATGTTTAACTTTGACTAAACACTGAACATCACGTTCCTGAGCACAACTAACAAACAATAACTGAGCTCTATGTGGTATTTCATGCATAAAAACAGTGTTTAACACATTCTCTGGAAAAAATACTATGTGTACAACTGAGTGAATGTGAAATAAATAAAACAGAATTACCATTTAAAGTAAACAGATTTTCATTCACTGTTGTTGAATTGTGTTAAATATCTGGTGTCTTGAATTCTGAACTTTACCACGTGTCAACAGGAAATTCCTACTGGAGGGGGATTCTAGTTTAAATTTACAACCTGTACAACTGGACTGCAGCAAACGTACCCAAAGTAGCAAAACTGCAGTGAAATAAAGATTTTATACAATGGATTACACCTTTTAAACAATGTGCAGCTCCACCTAGCGCCTTCA